AATCCACCAGAGAGTCAGATCATCACGGCTGGTACGGACCGGAAGGTAAGCGACCGAATGAGTCATCACCACTAAATGAAGAGACCAGAAAGCTTAAGGCAGAACTTTGAGAAAAGAAGGGTTTAGTTAAATGTAGGTTACGTCTAACCTACACAACTTAATGATTGTAAATATATAAAACTCGAATATGTGCACTGCGCTGAAGAAACGAATATAAGCTATGAACACAACTGAACTAATAGTTGAAAATAAGACCTGAAAAAAATTCAGGCAATTTACTTTGTATATGTGGAAACTGACAGTTGAGCCGATCTTGAACTATCGTTTTGAGTACAGTCAAACAACTCTTGACTGTAAAGCAGATCATTTTGAAGGAAATTGTTTCGTATTTATTACGAGCGTAGGACAAGAAAATATCTGGGAGTCCCGAGAGGGATTGGACATCAGACTTTCGGCCTTCTATGTTCCACGCTTTGTAGGACAAAAACTCGTCCTCAAGCGAGGCCATTCACTAGGTTTACATTGGAGACAAATTTTTCTCTGCTTTCGTTCAGCTTTTGTTTTTTTCTGTCTGAAAAGTGCCGCCGTGCCGTACACACAAGTTACTTTCATTGAATGATGTGGCCGGTCACTTTGCCCGCCAAAGCAATTACTGTGTTTCACACAAACACTGCGAGAAGACAAGCACAATGAGAGTTTTAAAGTATAAAGTGGATATCATAACAAGCACAGAAAAATCAAAACAATTTATTGCTGTAAAACGATATTAGAAAAACTGTACAATCTTACTGATACATCATAGAAATCTTTCTGGCCGTGAATCTTTGTTAAGAAGTCATACATAAAGGGGGTGAAGAGACTTTTCGAAAATGCCGTGTCTTTCCTTGTACAAAAAGGCAGTTACGTACAGCAAACACGTGACTCTTTAACCATTTAACTCCCAGAAGTGATTATCATGTAACTTCTCCTTATTATATCCATATATTATTTAGCAAACAGGTAATGAGAATACTCAAACTTATCAGGTTGAAGTTGTTATCTTGATCTAGCACCAAATTCTCGTAACCAATTTAAAAGGAAATGTGTAGCAGCAAGAGGGGAGAACTAACAATCAGATCTTGGGAGTTAATGGGTTTAATTTCGTATTGCCAACAGATTGTTTACTGGGAAACATATGACGGAGGGCAAATTCGAGAACTGGAAGGGTCCAAACGGGGATCTATAGATGGTATGGATATATCCTTCGACGGGACACACTTTGTTACTGGTGGCGCCGACAAAGAAGTTGTGGTATGTACACGCATAACCTGTCATTGTTTGGCATCTTAGCGTACTAGTACAATCTATTGGTGGAAGGTTAAGAAAATAAGCAATGGCTATGGTACAAAAATCTGAAGATAAGATGAAGAAACAACTTTACAATGCTTTAAATACTTAAAATTGATTCACGAATTACAAAATAGGTGTTAGCTCGGTGGGTGTACACGGGGGGTGTACAACACTTACATGTTTGTCTTTGTTTATGAAGGATACGCTTAGGTGAAAAATTGACCAATCAAATCTTTGTATGTATCTTCTTAATGTTAAACAATGTGAATATTTTAAAAGTTGTAGAGTGAAAAACTTTAAGCGTCCATAACTCAAACATTCTTTTGCGAGCTAGTGTGTGCAATCTTTAGAGATGACTTTTCTTTGTATAAACTAAGATTTATGAAGAACTTCATGCAGTAATTCACTACTCCGGTGCAAACGTATTACCGAGATTTAGACTTGAAATATATTTTCTTTAGGTCACAGTTGCGTCTATACACTTTTCATTGCTTCTTATTTTTCATTCCTACTTGCTCACTCACCTGACTTTCTTTATGACCCTTGACCTATTTTGATCTTAATTTGTAGGTGTGGAAGTACAATGAAGGCCAAGAGACTCATGTTGGCAAAGGCCACGGAGGGGGGATCACAAGGGTGAAAATATGTCCAAACAACAAGTGGATTGTCTCCATAGGAACGGACGGCAGCATTCTGAGATGGAAATACCCTCATTAAGACAACTAACACTGATTTGTAATTGTATGACTGCGGAACGTTTCTTCTCAAAAAATTGCCAAAGTTTAAGTTTATACCAGTGGCAGATACATGCAACATTTGCTTGGAAATATCACTTTGAGGTGTTTGAAGAGATTTACATGGAAACTTAACTGTTTTGTAATTTAATCAACACGGTTCACGGTTTTGATTGACTTAGTTAGACTATTGTAGGGTGATGACGTTCAGGTCAAGATCATGATGCCGGTGAAAGTTACTATATTATGTAAATTGCCTTGTGTACAGTGAGATTATGGAATTTAACCTTTGTAACTTGGATAATTAATTTTTGATGGGTCAGGCAAGGAGATAGGGTTTGCTACTATTTTTTTAAAAGTTTCGGCGGTTTGAGTTGGACATCATCATTCTTGAAATATATTTGATTTTCTTTGTTTTATAGTGCTGAAACTTTTTAATTGTTTACTAGTTTAAGGCAGATGTTGGGGCAGACGCAAAACTTAATGTAAAATAATGTGTGTTGTTATCGATAAATCTGCCCACTTTTCATCGCTTGACACCATTTGTGGTAATGAATGGTTTACACGCCATTAAATATAGAGGCCCTATTAAAACACATTCAAAAATACTGGTTAAATTTCGGGACTTATTGCGTAGGGATTGGTGTAAGTGTGCTCACTTAATGTATATTTTGATAGGAATTTTTAAGAAACAGCAAACTTGAATCGAAATTTGACATACGAGACAAATATTTTTGAACTTGGATCTTGCCAACTACCCGGACGAGAGGGAAGCTATCGTGTGAAACAGTTCCAAATACTAAGTATTTATCTTGGGTTTGTTGATTATTTCCAAAACGACTTTCTACCTAAAATTTCATACTTTTGCGGTAAAGATCGGGAAAAAAGGGCGTACCCAAGGTAACGCCCCCGAAGGAACTACCTGCCGTTCATTTAAGTTAACTGATTTTAAATTTCAGTGCGGAAGATGAGAAGTTCGAGTTGTTTACACCTTTAGTCACCTTACAGAAGAGCAGAAGAGGTGTTGCCGCAAGATAGTTATTGAAACATTTCACCGGAAGTTGCTAGTAATCGGATCCTTGCGTTTCCGCACAGATTTCTGGGATCGCCACGGGGCAAACATTTTAACTCGCTATAAAGGAAAGTATGGCGAAAGGTTGTTTGGACGTTCAAAAAAGCGATTTTGGCGACATGATGGCTCTCTCGCCGCAGTTTCATCATACATGGATAAAGATAATTTTGTTACGAGGGAAGTTTAAGTTTTTATTAGAATTACCACAAAATGTGTTATAAAAAATACCAAAAAACTTCTCTACTTGCGTAATGTCTATTGTGAAATCGTCATCGCGTAATGGTCTCGAAATATCACAAAAAAATAAATCGTTAGGAAATAACTCATTTAAGTCTTTTCAGTTATATTTATATTTGTGCAGCCTGTTTTCATACTTATTGACGTACTTGACAAACAAATTACGACGTTTGAAAATACTACCTCCCCAAAGGAGAGAAGTCGTTGTCAGCGGAGATGGAAATTATTTTTTACCGAGCTGTTGCTCTCTGAAAAGATGAAATAAGCGATGGAAAACATGAGGAAATCTCTAGTTCAAATGATAGTTTGTTTGAGAAAAAATCCAAGGGTCTTTGAGTTGTAACTTTTCTTCTCGAACTCCCTGAAGGATCTTGGCAGGAAAAGCAAGATCACGGGGGAACTCCGGAAGAACCTGTGGACATATCATCAGTTTTGCATCGCTCCTTAAGAGACCAATTTGTATCACTAGTCGTCACAGGAGGGTTCAGTTTTGAGCCAATTATCAACGCTGATTCGTTCTCATTGATCACAAAAAAGAGGCATTGTAGGTATTTTATCACTTTAATATACCACATTAATATATTTAATGCTAAAGCACGCCATTTCAATCTCTTGCTGCCTCGAGGTAACTTTTGCAGCGTTTTATTGTATTACCAAACCACGAAAAAAGCTATAAATAGACTTGACACACGTAAGAAAAAACTGAAACAGCTTAGTTGAGTTATTCCTTGGCGATCTATAGTTAGTTTTCCTAAATTTCGAGACCATTTCGCGATTTCAAATTCTCAATAAACCTTGCGCATGGAGACAAGTTAATCGGTAGGTTTATAATGGTAATTGAAACTGAATGGAGTGCAGTTTGGGCTGAAATCATACGCGTGATTTAAAAATCGAACAAGTGCGCAGCGCGAGTTCGATTTGAAATCACAATCAGACCAAAATTGCACTCCACTCAGTTCAATTACCACTTTATTACATCCATTTTGAAATCGCCCAAATACAGGACTTGGTCAGTTCAAATATTTCATTGATGTAGCACTTAGCCGGTTTGAAATTAAATTCATTCATTTTTGGGGGGGAATAAACAAGAGTTTTGGAAACAAAATTTGCAAAATTTGCCACATGATACTTTTTGTCTTTCATTTTCCTGCAATTTAAGTGGTTACTTTAAACAAGCCTTGAAATCTGATTGGTTATTTTGTTTTTAGTGTAGCCTCCTCATTGGCTGGGAAAAAGATGGAATTTAAAGTAAAAATGGTGCGATTCGTGAATAAATTGCACCAATTAGAGCCAATCAGATTACAGGGACCACCAGTGATTTCAAAATGGGTGTAATAAATAATGGTAATAAGACCGAGTGGAGTCTAATTCGGTCTGTAGTCACCTGAGTGACTAACAAAATCGAACGACTGCAAAGCGGGAGTCCGACTTGGTAATCACGAGCATTGTTACAGAAACAATTGGACGATCGAAGTCCTGTTACCAATTAATCATAACCGTTAAAATTTCCGAAAAAACTGATTCGTTTAAGGCGAATACCTCCGGTAGAAACAATAGGTAAAGTAAAAAATTCCTCTATGTTGGAAATTCCCGAGTGTTTTTTTTTTTTTAGGATAAGTGGTTGTTGCTATGGTTATTGAGATCAATTCTGCGACTGGTGGATTTAGCTGAGTGGACATAGTATGATTGGCTGCTTCAACTGCCTGATTACAGGTGTGCGATTACAGCCAACTGTGCGATTGCACTCTCCGATTACAACTGAACAGAATGATAAGTGAAGAATAAAGCAGCCAATGCACTAATCACATTTTAGGGAATTGTGACGGTTATGCCTACTCTTGAAAATCATTTGAAACAAAATATCAGTCTTCTGACGGTCTCTTTTGCGGCTTGTCTAATGCCTTGAATTCTCCAACAATATAGAAGAGGATTTAAAGAAGATTTGAACAAAACCAAAGTCCCGCACCAATAAAACGCCGCTGAAACATCATCGTTCCATCCACTGAATCGGCCGATGATTTTCAAACAAACGTAAGGGAGATAACAGACACACAGAGAGGCATATACATACAGCGCGCTAACGAACGACTTCCGATATGTCAACATATTGAACGAGCTGTCGTCTGCGTTTCTTTTAAGGATATATGAAGGCAACCTGGAAGCAGTGTAGTGAAAGACTTGCCTTGTTCGCTGCTTCCGAATGGATACATACACCAAAATACAGCACACAGAGGAAATAAGGGCGCACACAAAAATCCCTCCGTAAGTTGCCCCTAGGTACAGAGGGTAATTCCATAAGTACGCTGTTGACATAGTTGCGCTTAAAATATATGAAAATATCAAAGCCATAGTTACCCGTCGAAGTGTTACTGTTTCTCGGTATCTGAATTTTAAGCGCAGTGCTAGAAGGCGGTCCATACTTATGGCTGTCATGGTTAGCAATGAAATTGCACAAAGCAAAACAGACAAAATGTTATGAGTAGCGTGGATTACCCCGTCTTGTTTTGATTGACCATTCGAACTCATCTCAGTTAAAAGATAACCCAAATAAAGTGGATGACCAATCACACCAACGCCGAGATCGGAGAGAGCTAGACCAAAGTACAATGCTTTAGACGGAGCGTGAAGCGAAGATATCTTTCGAAGAGAAATTGCTATCACGATGTTTCCAAAAGTCGCCGTAAATGATAAAAAGACATTGAGTACGCAGTTTCCTATGTATGAAACTAAGAGAACGTTGGATAACTTAGGAACAGATGAGTTGTCGAAGCTTTCATCTACGCTGGTGTTGTTGGAATTAGAATTCGCCATCACCTTCCAGCGGCGAACAGGTGATATGTCTTCGCCTGGCGAGTGCCCTCAAGACAGAAGTCTAGGCGAAAGCAATCTCTGACATAAAACAAAAAATAAATTGTTCAAACATTTAGACCGGAGCTACAGCAAAGCCAAAATATAGAGACTGATGAAACCCATTTAAGTTAACTTACAAAATGTTACACGCATATTTTGTTTGCATGCCACACATTACGCAACAACGTCAAGTTTTGTCAGGCACTCTAATTTACAAACAGCTGAAATTGTTATCAGTCATTTTAACTCATTAATTTCTCATGTTAATCATTGGCGATGTAAAAGTTCATAATTTCCCCTCAGCCAAACCGATTTCAGTGGAATGTGAAAGTTTTCCGCGAAAACAATAAATTTCATTTCGCCGTAAAAGCTCTGAGAAAATAAAATTCAAAAAACAATTCAACTTGTAAAGAGGTGAGAAAAGCAGAAAACCGACAAAGATTCACTTGATAATTTTAAGCGCTTTGTTTTTCATGTGGGTTTGTAACTCATTGAGAAATGAACGATTTGGCTAAAATAAACTCCATTAACGTACAATGATAAAGCTACTGTCATTCAAATCAGGTAACACTGGAGCGCTGAAAAAAAAAACAGTTGCTAAACTTATTCTTTCCTGTCGGAGAACATAGTGCGAAACTCAATAGCTCCCGCATCTCTTCTTTTGTTAAAATATTCGAGAACAATCTTTCAAGTTCCTGTTTTCAATTGCAAATTGGAGACATAGCCAATACAAGCCCGTCGATCCTCTTGGACATAACACCACATTTACATGAGATTATATCTGCATTGGAAAAGTAGTATATTTTAAGAAAGGGATTTTGATCTTAACGTTGATAACCGAACATGAGCCTCAAAAGTAGAATTTTGTGTGATTTGTGTTAGGGGTCATTTCCTAGTAAAAGAGCAGATGATAGAAAAACCAGAAAAGAAACTTTCTTAATCAGAAAAAATTTTGCAATCGAAAATCACGTGGGCGATCAAACTACAGTTAACTCAAGTACCCTAAAGCAGTCGTTAGAAAACTACTTAGAATTTTCTTTAACAATGAACAAATACTACTTGTAATAAAACGATTTCACACATCAGAACAACTCTTTCAGTTACTACGTATTCCAAATGTACTTGAATGATGAAAAAATAGCAGCCAGTGCGGTGTCACCAAATATTAAATAACGAAATCAAAGTAGACCGTCTGGCGTTTCCTTCTCACCAAGAGATACGCCTTTAGAACCCAACTCTACTTCTCAGAAGTCGCCACAGAGTGTTTCAACCAGCCGTATGTCTACCAGTTACCTGATGTGAAGTCTGCCGCTATAGGTTACCTCTCACTATAATTTATGATTTCGATTTTCTCCTCAAAAGTCAACTTTTGTGTGTTGAGATATCAAATCCAAATGAATGGTGTCCAAGAGCAGGTGTTGACAGTAATTAAAATGGTGTTAAATTGATCTACCCCGTTGTGACATTTCAACTTACTTTTTGTGTTATTTAGGAACGGCTAAATGGCCTCGTTGTGGGTTTATTTAAATCCACATGTGTAATTGTTTATCTTTAACTCAAGAGATTCGACGTCTCTAAGTAACTTGAATTTCTAAACTTTATGAATATTTTGGATATGATAAATCAAAGTGATTGTTTTGGTTTAGATGCCGCCAGATTGTCGCTTCTCGTCATAAAACAAGAATATAACGAACAAATTATATAAAGTAAAATCACAAATTTTTAAGAAGCATTACAAAATTTATGGGTGGACTTGAAAAGCCTGTTAAAAATCTTAACTGAAAAAAAAAACCTTGAACCAACAAAACCCTTTTATAAATAATATCATTAAAGTTAACGTTACGCTCTCGACAATGTAGTAAACTTGTAAAATTAATTTTACCTATCAATCCCGAATTCGAGAAAGGATATTACTGAATACTTTCAGTAACCATGCTAAACCATTAACAACAATGAAACAAAAATAGGTGTGCTTTTCAATTGAGTGTCATAAAACCGAAACCAATAGCTGCAATCAGAAGAAAGGAAACTACCTTTAAGAGCCAGTGAGAACTCAAATTAAAAATAAAAAAACAAACTGCCTAAAGCGCGGGAAAACGTGGGGAATCAAGTCGTGATTGGTTCTAGTTTTGCATCTGATTGATTAGGAGAGATGCACGAGTTTTCTAGACCAATCAAAGAGCGAAGTTAAGAAAAACCATTGCAATTTAGGATTACTTTCCACAATTAATTGAAAATTGCTCTAAAAGTGAACCTTACGTAAACGTGATATTATTATTATGCTCAAAATTTTGAGGATAATATTGTATAGGAAAAAATCACGCACTTTTGATTGGCTGTAAAATGAGTGCATTCTTATACAACACGAGTGCAAAGTTGTAACACGAGAGCAAATTACAAATAGAGCACGCGCTTTTAAAATTTCGTCTGTTTGACTTTCTGCGACTTTCTGTTCATTATATTAACAAGTAATAACATGATTTCTCTTACAATTCGGTGTAATAAGCACTTGTAAATTTTGCAAAGACTGCAAATTGCACTTGCCCTACAGGCTCGTGCAATTTTGTTGTCTGAAAAATTTACCCTTGCTAATATATTCCAAATTGCCCTCGAAGACATGTTCTTACCTAGACTAATTTTTGACATAATGCAATTTTTTCTGCGGTGAGGCTCAAAATCATAGTGCTCAGATTTTGAGCATTATTTTTCCGACCCAACTTTTTTTAGAGTTTTTAAAATAAACAAAGGGGACAAGAAAGTATGTACTGACGTACATTCAATTCAACGGAAATTCAAATGATAATCGAGTTTATCCTAAGGAAAAAGTATGCCCTGTTATACTCTCCCACCGACGCAGCAGCACAGTTTCTTTAGAAACTTACCCCCTTTATTCATCGATCCCACTTAGTCGACGTTGACGGAAAGTATGTTTATATGCCAGGAAATCAAGAAGAATACGTCGATAACCCTCTTTATTTCCAGAGCGACTGGGAACTATACATAACAGATAAAAATAACAGTAAAAATTGTAGTTAAAAGCTGAAAGTAGTTCAATATCCTAAACATATCGATAAGAATGAATCCGATAAAGTTTCCTTCAACCGGGTTGATAGTAGAAAACTTAGTTGTCTTAAAGGACCGACAAGTCAGTAATGGCAGCCAATGAGCTCCCAAAATAAACGATATGACTATCTCATCTTATTTATCAACCTCACAGAGATCAAAATACCGAACCACAGATGTGCACTGTGGAAAATTGTTTGTCTTTAGAGGTTTGCAGAGGTTTTGTCCAACAACAAGATGATAAAATCTCACTAGTGTCACTTTTCAGTTTTAATGATCTATCCTTTGTGGTCAGAAAAGTGATATGCCAGCAACTATTTGTTTTCTTTTTCAAGTCTATTTCCATAAAATGACAAAATACTGTTTGCGTGACTCGGCAGCATCACTTACAAAACTGACGTGAATCTTATATTGTTCATGGCAGGACATTAGTAAGTGCTGTTGAGCACCAAAAGCTCATTGATCCGAAATACTTCATCATGGCATTCAAACCCTTGAGTTTATTTGCTTTCTTCGTCATAATTCTTCTTCCTCTCGGTAGGTATTGCTATAGTTTTATCATAATTTTGTAATCCATTGATGGCTTGAGATAGAACAAGTCATTTTCATTGCAATTTTTTCCCGCCAAGTGTTTCGTGTCTAGAGTCACATATCGTGTCAAGCCGATATAAAATGTTTATTGATGAAGGACTAGAAACATCATTAAAGAAATGTTCAAAAAAAGAAAGGATAGGAGTTAAACAGCTTTACCTCGGACGGGAATTAGTAAAAATACGCTGAGCCATAATTAGCTTACTCGGTTCCAGTTCTAGTAATCTGGTGAAATGTAAAAACTACAAAACAAGACCAGTCACATGATGTTGGGTTGTTTAACCGTCAATTGTGCTCTCCGCTGTATGTCTTGGTAAACCTTTCTTAGTCTCAATGAGATGTTATACAAAGAACGAAGCAAGTCCTATTTTTGGTAGTTAATCACTTAAAATGTCTGAATCAACTTTTTAAGTCAACACAAAAGAATAAATTCTAGTGACGTTATCATATAGGTTATGCAAATCCATCGATATCTTGTCAAACATAAAACCAGGGGAAAAGATAGTGCCATGCGAATGCATATGGCTCACTTAGGTTAAATTTAGGAGTTTTAAGTTTCACTCAATAGTCATCTGGTCATTTCTAAAATTCATGACTTGACGCATTCAAATTTTGACATAATACTGCTCTGTTCCACTTCATATAATTTTTTTCATTTCATTCATAGAATATTGTTAAACTGGACGCTTATCATTGTGTTTTTGATGTATAAATGTATTTAGCGTGGTTCCACGAAAAACTGAGTAAACTCGAGCCCCTTTTACCAAACCCTTCTGACAAATTCTAGAAACATCAACCGTGAAGCATGGAAATTTGGTGGCTTTTGATTTTTTTTTGCGGATTCAAGGATTGTCCTCGATGTGCATGAATGGATTCCGCAGTCACGGCATTTCTCTATTTTTGGCGGGATAAATAGGCTCTTGTTTTACACATGCTCATGGTTCAGTCAAGCATCACTACCGGAAGACAAAATTTATCAAGTGAGCTGAAAAAAATTTCCTGTTCAAAAGCTTTTGTAAAGAGGCTCTACCCGGGCAGGAGCTCATGGGCTCCTGACGGGGAGGAGTATCATTTAGAAAAACAAGGGTGACCCTCAGATCTCTTAGGTTAAAAATGCAGATTATTGAACCGCGTTAGGGTCAACAAAGAGAAAAAATAAGCACTTGTCAAAATGCCCTATCAAGATGAAACGTGCGAATTTGTGTTTCCATCTAAGTAAAGTATTTTCTATTATTAGTTTTATCAATTATATCTGAGGGACCTTTTATAGACTTTATAGGTCAATACTGGTTGGAGCCACACCCCGATGGCTAACTCTCCGAGTTTTGTGAGCCGTTTCGTTGATCATCCCGTGATACGCGTGATATTTCTCCCCCCCGGAAAAGCGCATGTCGTTCAGGTCATCGTGACGAATGTAACTACTCTGAAAACTTTGACTATAAAGAAATATGTTCTTAGTTGACAGTTGCCTGTGTTATTATAATTGAAATAGTATTCTTATTTTTAATATTTTCACTGTTATTGTTGTAACTATTATTACTATTATAATAATTAATATTATTATCATTATTGATTTTGTTACCTGACAGCCCATTCATTGCGGTGTTACTCCTGTAATAACATGTACAAGAACATAGAATGTGCGCCTGACTTTCCTGTGACCTGCGGTGGCTCTAGTGACAGATGCGTCACGGCAAAGTTTTCCTACAAAACAAACAGCACCGAACGTGGTGAAGTGGAGACATTTTTCAGAACATGTACCACTATGGCGGTATGTAACACTGCTACTGCTCCGTGCAAAGATATCAAGGGCGCCATCTGTGAATACAAGTGCTGTGAAGATGATCTGTGCAACAACAGCCCTCGTTACACGAGTCAAGTTTTTTATTTGCTGGTCCTCGCTTTTGTTTGCTTAATGTTAACAGCTTAATTCTTTTTAAAAGAGCATTTTCCGGATGTGTTTCATGACATCTTAGAAATGAAAAAATTTCAATATTCCATATAGGTTTTGTTGAACTAATGCACCATTTCCGCTATGAAATAAAACTGTTGTTTTATTTTTTTTCAATCATCAGTATCTAACTTTCAGGCCCCCCCCCCCCCCCCCCCCCCCCCCCCCCCCGCATCCCCGGGTCAACTGAAAATATTTCAAGCTCTTGAGAGGGATAAAAAAAGAGGCCCTTCTCAGGGGGGGAACAATCATCTCGTTCAGTGGTGCAAATCAAAAATGTTAGTTTTTCCTAGTTGTTCGGGTCATAACAACCTAAATTTTTAGCTATTGAGGTGTTTTTAAGGGCTGTGCATGACTGAAATGACGTTTATTGTCTCGATAATCTTTTTCTATCAAACAAACATGTTTATTGGGTGAGTACAGATATTTGAATACACCTATATCACGTCTATTCCACCTTTAAAAAAATTGAGCCCAAGTTTGTCATTTGTAATTCTGTCATTCTGCTTCATCCTTTACCATCTTTGTTCCTTTTTTCCTTTCAAAATCATCCTGAATTCCATGCAACTACAATTTATAAGTCCTCATTCAAGTGGTATCTATTCGGAGTACATAAATCACAAGCTACGACTAGGTTGGTCTCGTTAGTGGCTCAATTCAGACATCCTTGTCCTTTTGGATATGGGAGTTCCCTCCTTCTGCTCATGGCAGTTTATCATGAGAAATCAAGTCGGCACATTTAGATTTGATTTTTCGTAATAGGATAAAATTGTGCGAATATATTAATGACCCAATTTTTTTCTCTAAAAAATAGAAAGATTCCCAAGGTATAATTGACATTTCATCGCTAAAACTGTGACCGGTCAATGCATTACCAAAGCACTGCCCCTAAGTAACTGCCCGCTTCCTCTACGCAGACCCCATTTAGTTGTCCACAAGGAATATCTGGGAGATTTCACGGCTTCTGTTAGTTGACTTTATTGACGGTTGACGGCTCATGCTTTGCATTCTTGGTCGGTGGTCAGGATTTAGGTCATTTGACGGCTGACCACTATTCCACTGAGATCCTCCGATTATCCGTTCAATTGAGTTCAGAGTTCATGCGTCGATCAATTCGAAGTCTTAATATCAAAAACATCAAAAATTGGGTTCAAATGCCCCGCCCACGTGCCGGATTTGATCGTTAATTTTGGCGCAAAAAAAGATCTAAAAGAGTTTTAGATACACGTTTGGTGCGTTCACTGCAAACGTCAAACCGCGGTTAGCAGTTTGTGATTAGAAGTTAAAAGTTTCGAGACTCAGCTGTTCAGATCGACGTCGGCTTTCACCTAAAAAAAAAATCAACATGTGAACCGCCATCTTGAGTTACACAAAGGTAAGAGGTACTTCATTCCAAACACAAAATGTAGCTAAAAGATTGGTTTTCTAGCGTCCCAAACAGATTGGTTATAAAGAAAAGACTTAACCTTACATATATTTATAGGGCATACGTGAGAACTCTCGAACAAGGAGAAAAAAAGCGTCGAGGGAGTTCAACTACCCAAAGGTGCCTTGCACGAGGTTCAAACGTGTACGACAAACGGCGAACGTGACCGCTGAAGTCTGGTCACGTGACTCCTAGACGTTTTAGTCACACGTATTCAGAAACAAACGCGGATCTAAAACTCTCTACTCGCCCGTGATTTTCATTTAGACCTTTTCTTCTGAACCACCTGCTTGCGAAAGTGAACTTTTCCCCTTTTAACATTTCCGTATTAAAAGATAAGACATGTTTATTCATCTGAAAAGACTTGACAGTTTCGGTTCAAATTCCCCACCCAGGTAAGGCTCCCGAACACAAACAATATTCAATGCCCGTGCGTTGCCTGGAGCAGAGGGGGGGAATGTTAAAGCTTCGAATGCGATCGGCGCATTATGCGAAAAGTATTTCTTTGATTACCTCCTGAAATAGCCTTAAGTCACTTTTCTCGGTCACTTAAGCTGATCAGGAATTCTCAAAGGCAGTCTACCAACAACACAGAATTTGATTTCTGAGAACCAAATCTGAAATACATGTAGAACCGATGAGAGATCGCATGGTTGGAACTTTCGAGTTAGGCTCAGGAACTCTGCAAGTCTCTCAAGCTGCGAAAACTTTATGAACACTTTGGATTCTTGCCTGGCGCCAATTAGGCTCCCTTTTTTGCTCATAAAACAGAGAGGAAACTCCTTAGCACTTGAGTAAGTTAATATTTCATGTCATAAGCATTTCCTGCCTAACATGAACTCGACACACTCACCAGAATGCATGTATGTACTTTTCAGTGGAATGGGGAGAGGTATGGCCCAAACTGCGCAGTCTCTTTACCCACAACTCTTTGCAGTTAGCCTAAGCCAAATGTCACAATGGAGGACGAGAAGTAGTTGTAGCGGTAGATTTAGATACTTTTCTTTCCATTGCGATTGACGATCACACACTTTGTCGTTAGGTTGTGAAACTGTCGATGCAATAAGAAATAATCGCCGTGTTTCCCGGCTCGGGATTTTGGGGCGCAATTGGCCGCATAGCTAGTAAACACATTAAAGTAGTAACGGGGACTCGCTCGTCGAAAAGTCGTCCCAAGATTTCAAACTGCAAAGTGGAAGAAGAAAGAATGAAAGCGACGGAAAATGAAAGTGATCAGGAGGAAATGGATACAAAAGAAGGTATTTCTTCTATAAAGGCAATTTAAGACCGCTCTTAGAATTACTTCTCGTTTAAATTTTGCACATCACGGAAGCTACATTGTAGCTAGTTCAAGGTTAGCTTGTGATGAATTCAAATGTTTTGCTCGCGCGTTTTCCGTTAGATGCTGGTGGAGATTCTACAGTGCCAAATGGGCTTTCTTCTCCGAGTGAACCGCAGGATGTTGTGATGGAAGAGGACACGGCGAGACCTGAAGGAATAATTCGTTTCACTGTGCTCAATTTTAGCAAACTAGACAAGACAACTCTTAGTGACCCCATATACGTGAGGAATTTACCATGGTAAGGCATCAAAATTTGTTAGCGTGTGACGAAAATTTATAGATATGGCTCAATAAATAATCGGTTGATCGTTGAGGAATTATAGTTCTCAAATTTCTTGAGATACCATGTCTCAGAGCTTTAAAGTTTTTCCCCGCAATCGATTAAGTTTTATGAATTATTCATTGAACCGTTGTATTTTGTTGTTTTATGGTTTTTGTCAATCTGGTTGTTACATTGCTAATGATTTTTCATCCACGAGAATTTTTTTCATTTATCTTTTCTAAGTACATTGAACACCTGTGAGAGAGTGGAAAGTGTGCTTCTATTTACAATTGTAATGTTTTATGTTTACGTTCTTTCCTTACTGCTACTTGGATGTCTTCTGGATTTCATTCTATATCTATACACCTAGTGTTCGTTGAAGTGAGGTGATGAAAATGACATTGCTTTAGGCATTCAATAAACTTCTTCATTTTTGGGAGTCAGGATTGCATAAAGCATTTTTGTAAAGAATAATGCTTGGATGGTGACTATGCAAATATAATATTGGTTGTCATTTTGCTTAAAAATACAAGTCTAAAGTAGTATTATGTACATCTATTATTTGGAGTTGTTAATTTGATTTTTTCACCCAATTACCTACGTTATTTTTCCATATTGTCACTTTGTACTCTATATTCCACAGTAGATTTGGAGGAATATGTTTTTTTGTGCCTTTTTTTTCAATTGTCTGTTGCATCTTAAACAAGCTAATTCCTGTAATTGATAACTAGGAAAGTAAGAGGAATGAGGGAAGGATTTGAGTCATGGCTGTGGGGTGAAAGTGAAAGTTTATAACCTCAATATTGTTTTTCATGTATTAGTATTTCTCAGTCAGTTTTGTTTTTAAGTTCGGTATTCTATCACAGTAAAAAAGTGATATTCATGTGCATGTTTTTGTTTGTTTTATTTCATCTTAGTATATTTATCTCTCTCAACTGTTAGTATTGTGGGTTATACTAGAGATTTACAGTGGAAATTAAAAAACAAAATTTCCATGACTTTTTCTTCAATCAACAAGACTTTTCTTTCTAGGCGCATCATGTGTATGCCAAGGTATTCCAGTAATGACAAAGTCAAAAGTGTGGGATTCTTTCTGCAGTGTAACCCAGAGACAGAGTCACTGTAAGTGTGTCACAGCTTTTTTGTCAAAATGTACACTATCATTAGATGTTTCCAGCCAACTAGCATTCCCTCTGTCACAAAACATTATTCAACTTCAAGTTTTTGTTGGCAGGCAGCGAAGCACTCAAAACATTGCAATATTCAATTGTGGCTGACTCTATATAGTTAGACAAGGATGTCATTTGTGTATTTCTTATTCACCACAATGCACAATAAGCAGATATACTTTGAACAGTGCATACATCCTTTTCCTCAGGTTGTTTGAAACAAAAGCTGCAGTTATTTTCATGCCACATTGTGTGTTATTCTAACGGGAAATTTTAAAAGCAGTGTTACGACAATTTACCCCTTGTATTTATTGTCTGAGACAAAGGATATTAAACTACTTATGCAAGTATTACTGGTAGTTAAGTTGCAACAATGATTGTGTTGTTCTAGTCCTATAGTATTGAAAAAAGTGCAGCATTTTTTCATATTTGAACCATATATGCAGGAACTATTTAAATTTTGACATCTGTAGGTGGTGTTCATTTATTACAAATGCATATACATTTGCCCAAGGATATTGGTTATGTCATTAATGAAATGAATTCTATTCACTTAGAAAGTACACAATTTATATTTAGTTGAAGTAGTTTGGTCACACATGTATGTTAAGTTAGAAAATTAATGTTATTGATATGTGTAAAAGTTTGTTTGCTAAAAGAGCATATTGGTATTTTATCTTTATTATATTGCACTCAGGGCTTAAATTAATACCTAAAGCAGTCTTTTATGTTGTCTTCTGAAATGCTTGCCTTTTCTTCTTTAGATCATGGTCTTGCCAGGCTTCAGCAAGACTGACTCTTGTCACTCAACAAGAAGGTGGTGAAGACTTTTCAAGAAGTGAGTTGTTAGATTGTAAAATTTTAAAAGGAAATCTTGAAACTATCTGGTTTGTATTCTTGGGGAAAAAAGGATAGAGCTAGATGAGTAGAAAGTGAGAGTGTGATTTTAAAAACAAGGGATGGCTGCAAAAAATGAGTCACTCACATTTGATTTTAGGATGTGAATCACTGATCAGACAGAACATCCAATTGCCTGTAGACTTAAATTTAATGTGCAGTCTTGGAAAGGAACCATCATTTAATATGTGCATATCTTTTCTTTTAACTGTGGACTCTTTCTCTTTAGAAATCTCTCACCTCTTCTTTTCAAAAGAAAATGACTGGGGATTTAGTCACTTTGTACCATGGAATGTAAGTCATTTTACCACTCTGATCTAAACTCATGTATGCTAAATGGTTGTTTGTATTTAGCCATCCATGCACCTGTAGGTGCCCATCTTATATTACATCTGTATGACTTTCATGGGTGGACTGTAAATCTTCAACAGTTGCAGGAAGGAATGAGACAGGGGGTGGGGTAGGGGTAGGGGTTATTACAAAGCTAATCTTTAGATGGAGGGGGGGGGGTCTGAAGGGGGCATTTCAACTATGAATCCAGAAATGACTCAATATCTAGTGTGTTACATGTACACTCAAAATTTGTGGAGAGTTTTGTATTCTGTGATCTGTTGATGTATTCCATTGTCTGGTTTTTTATAATGCAGCTGTTTTACAGGTTTAAAAATACAGAGACAGGGAAAAAATAAGAAATTAACTCACGTTTTGTTATCTTATCTGAAATGCTGGTCATCAAGTTATCAATATCCAGCTTCATCCTGCAAGCTGACACCACATGAGCAAAATTATTTATCATTCGATATCTTGTATTTAGGAGGCATGAATATTATTATGATGTTAATTTGTTCTACTTCATAATTATGCTAAAACATTTTCCTTAGTTAGCTTGACAGATGTTTCTCAATGATTTCAAAATTTTTGGTTAGTTTCCTTTTTTAGTTGTTTAGAAGTTATCTCAGATTATTGTAAAGAAGTAACTGTGTGGTTAGAATTGGCTCCTTTGATGAAGTCTTCAAAAGACAAAGCTATTACTCTTAAATATTTTTACAGTCTACTATTTATTTATTTTCATGCAGGATGCTCTTGATCCTAACAAAGGTTTTATAAAAGATGACTCTATCATCTTAGAAGTACATGTAGCAGCAGAAGCTCCTCACGGAGTTGCGTAAGTCTCGTAGATGCTATACTCTTTTCTGCTTCAGCTTTCCAAAGGTATTACTGGAGCAGACAAAATAGTTTAAGCCTTAAAATTCCATGGATAACCAAGACATACATGTGCTTCCTCTTTACAACATCAAAACAATATTAAGCAGACAATAAGAGTAAAGAAAAGAAAAATATAAAGTGTGAGACTATTAGTTGATCCAATAACAAATTCTCTGAAGAGACATAATAAGAACTGTATAACGGTAAGGAGACTTGCAGATAATATCTTAGGAATGATAGAGTTCAAACAAGTGGCACATCAACAATACAGATATGTCGTTAAGGACCTTCTAAATTACTTGTTGGGATTAAGAGAAAATGCAAAAGGTTTAAAATACTTCCAAGCCATTATAGTGGAAGTCATTTGTGTCAAGTGGAGCAGTATTCATAAAAATTAAACACAGCAGCTGTTTACACATGTGCACAACTGTATGTATAGGGACATGTATGTGCTGGGGTAAGCTTTCTAGAAAGACCATCCTCAATGAATGGTATCTTCTTTGATGCTATCAGAATTTGAGATGACAAAGCATTTTGAAAGTAGTGTTGAAATATCAGGAAAGTGTTTGTATTGATCAGGTGTACCAACAGCTTAATTAGTATGGTGTAAAAAAGTTTGTCAGAGTGCAGGGTTTGAATTTGTTAATTGGAGAAATGTTTTTTTCTAGGTGGGATTCAAAGAAACATACTGGTTATGTTGGACTGAAGAATCAAGGGGCAACATGCTACATGAACTCTTTGCTACAAACTTTATATTTTACGAATAAACTAAGAAAGGTAAGAGAATAAAATTCCTTACTGCATATTAAGCTTTTCCATAATGACAAACAGTATCCTTCCTCTCGGCCTCTGCTTTTCACAAGGATAAAACAGTCTTTTTGTGCTTCATGAAAACTGTTCATCTTAAATATTCCTTTGTGGTATTCATATGGAAGTATCACTCATTTGTATGTACCAGCAGTTCCATTTTGAGTGTTGTTGTCTGCCATTTTGTAGTCTAGATACACGACAAACAGACATGTGCCAAAATGGAAAAATAGCAAGTCATGATGTGTTTGTGACTACGTGGGCAATTTAAATGTGTTTGCAAAATATCTTTGCAGGCTGTCTATCAAATGCCCACAGAGAATGACGACCCAAATAGAAGTGTGGCTTTTGCCCTTCAAAGAACTTTCTATGAGCTACAAAACAGGTCAGTCTTGAAAAGGAACTTCACATTCCCTCTTGTTTCAGACTTCCTTTTTAGGAGCTTAGATTGTGTGGAAAGGCACTTCCTGCTATTCACACTAGCAAAACAGCCTTAAGTAAGTTTTAACTTACTGTATATTTTCATTGTGCTAAATTTGAAGTTGACAAACATCAGTGTAAGCAGCTTCTATCAAGAAAGCAATTTCAAACTGAGTTTGATAAAACAGCTTTAAAACATGTTTTAGCTTTGATGTGAATGGGGTATAAGTTATGATTGTCCTGTTGGTACTAGTAATATTTTATTATAAGAAGTGGCTCTTTTGGTGCATTGAGATGTCTTCTATATTTCACACATACGACATACAAAGTAGCCTTTGTGTAATGGTCTGCATTTACTAACTTTTATCTGTAAATGTGACTTTTTATTTTCACATTAGTGATAAAGCAGTTGGCACAAAGAAGTTGACGCGATCATTTGGGTAAGTGTATTACAGACATATTTGTATCCTTGAATTAATTTTAATACTGTTTGACCTAAAATTACATAGTTTGCTGCTGACTTTGGCTATTGATTTTACATGTAAAATCTTAACATTTTTTAGAAGTCACCTTTGGATGTTTGATATTACATGTAGCAAGATTAAATAGATACATAAACATCCAGAGGATTGTTTCACTTACCAAGGAATGTGTGACTGTTTTTCCCCTCTTAGGTGGGAGACACTTGACAGCTTTATGCAGCATGATGTTCAAGAATTGTGTCGAGTGGTAAGACTGTGATTAAGTACTGGCCCTGGTTATTTGAAGGGTAGATAACACTATCCACTTGATGAAATGCTATCCAACAGATATTGTAGTCTGGTAATTATTAAAATCACACTTATCCACTGGATTATGATTTATCTGGTGGATAATGCTATTTAACAACCAAGCCTGAAGTATAACAGTAGTCAATAACTATATGTACAAGCTGAGCTGAACCTTGTTCATGGTAAACATTAAGTGGCAATCTCTGCAAGATCCAAAAAGTCCAAGGAATTTTGCATCAGAAAAAAGTTTTCCCTCAAACTTTGCCCATTAAACTATCTTTGGCAGTAAGTAAATAAAACCACATTGGTTTCTAGAAATACCATTAAAAAAATGTTTTGAGAGCTCTCAATAATCAACTTTTTTGACCTCTTGCAACTTTGAAAATTTCAAAAGTTGACAAGCTTGCTCCTTGTAACACACTACATGTAGCAAGAAATCATTTGTATTCCTAAATTTTGTGATATATAAGGGGTTTGGAAAGCATTTAAATTTTGATATGTGTCCATTCAGAGGTTTGCCATAATTTATTTAAAAACACCTGTTAGAGAGCTTTCTGAAATTCCTTGGGTGACCATTAAAAGCAGCAGTTGATTTCTTCTAATAGGATGTTAAAAGCATAGAAATGTAAAAACATCTTGCACCTATTAATTTCCTTTGCTTTAATGACTTCAAACTTTTGGTGATTTTGCTACAATGACAGCAGAATTATGCAAACTAGTCTGTTAAGCAAACTCTGACCGTTTTTATTGGTAGCTTCATGGATCTTAAATTTTAAGAAAAGATAATTAGACAGAGCTTTTAGAATGTACCAATTGATACTCTAAACATTTCAAACAGCAAAAATCTGGCAAATGATCCTGTCATTTGATGAAAAAGGTGAACAAAAAGTATCAAACATCTTATTGATTAGCATTTGGTGAAAGTGTTCATGAGAAACTTCTTTTAAAAAATTGGTTTCTGTTCTTTTATATTTGAGTTTAGAGAGCTTAAGCTAGTTCAAACCTGTACAAATATTTCAGAAACCTAACTACAGGCTTTAATTTAGCGTAACTAGCAATAACAGCACTACAACTATGAGCAGTCCCTCCTTTTTGGTAAAGTGGCACAGGTCAAAAAATATCAATGAAGAAAAATGTTCAAGGCAAAACTTTTTTCCAATGTGAAATGCCTTTGACTGCTCTTACAGAGATCAGTGTTTGTTTTTAGCTATGACAATGCTGTCAAGACCTTCCATTTGTGTTTTGTCTCACTAACTGATAAAGATGAGTAAAGGAAAAAATGAAGCATGGTATAGTTGTCTTTCTTAGAAGGATCCAAAATGATTATTTTCTAATTACAATTTAGCTTCATGAAGAGTTTCAAACATTTATTTTACACAACCTATTTGCAGTTACTGGATAACATGGAGAGCAAAATGAAGGGAACTTGTGTTGAGGTGAGATGTAACTCCACTTTGATGTCTATCAACATGCTATCAATTGACAAAAAAGTTTACAGGTCTGTAATATATGGGTATAGTCCTTTGAATTGCTGGAGTGAGCAGGATGTGCAGAAGGATGTGCAAACAAAAATATCATCAACAAATCTTTGTTCTGTTTTTGTAGGGCACAATTCCAAGATTGTTAGAAGGAAAAATGCTGGTAGGTATAAGAGTGTCATGGTTAACAAAGTGTTGTTGTTTTTTTTGCTGGAAGATCTTTTACTTTAAGATATTACAGCTCCACCTTACCCTAAAATACTTAAAGACTAATGAACTTTGATTTATAGCCAGATAGTTGATCTGAAGTAATGTATGAACCTCGCACAATTTAATTGAGTTTTTGTTTTTTTCACTCAGTCATATATCAAGTGTACAAATGTGGACTATGTGTCACAGAGGTGGGTTGTTTAAAACATACTCCTTCATAGTAGATTATCAATGGTAGCTTCATACCATACAGTTACTGTTCAGACACATGCTGCAGGCTGACTTGTGATTTATAATAATTATTATGGTTCAGTTTTGGTCTTTGAAAAGCCCTCATATTTTCTTTGCACTGTCAGACTTAAATTTTGTTTGCACATATATTATAAATTTTGTTTTAAAATGTAAGTTAGGTTGCAAATTATTATTGATGGTTACTTATATTTCAATATTGATATTTTAGCTAACTCTAGTAATGATATTGATTCTGATTTCAGAGAAGAGCCATTCTATGATATTCAACTGAATGTTAAAGGCAAGAAAGACAGTAAGTGTTGGCTGGTTACATGCTGTTGAATAGTATATAATGAAATAAAATTTAAAGAAATAGTAAATGTATATTAAATAATAGACTTTGCTCACTGTGGAGTCTCTGTGGCTCAGTGGTAGAGTATCAGAGCGCAGAATCCAAAGGTCTGAGGTTCGATTCCTCATGGGGACTCAGAATTTTTTCTTTGTCCCACACTCGTGACGAGATGAAAAGCATCTTTCTCTCTGTATATTAAATGTTGTTATTTTTGCAACAATGTCATCATGGACAAGTGGCATGTTAGTCATTGTTTTTATGGGCAAGATGCCTCACTCTTAAAGTTTCTTGCTTCACCTAGGAGTGTTAAGGTGTAGTGGTAAACTCCTAGAAAATCCTGACAAAATGCTAGGGAGAGGAGGGCAGGGGGTGGGGGTAACCTTTAATGAACAGGTATCCTATTCAGGTGTAGATACAATACTCCTAGTCCCATCATGTCCTAGTCCCATCATGTCCCATCATGTCTGAGTCCCATCATGTCTGAGTCCCATCATGTCCTAGTCCCATCATGTCCTTGTCCCATCATGTCCTAGTCCCATCATGTCCTAGTCCCATCATGTCCTAGTCCCATCATGTCCTAGTCCCATCATGTCCTAGTCCCATCATATAATAAACCCTGAGATATGTCATGGCGCTTGGGGTTTCTTGGCTTGAGATCAGACTTTACCTTACAAACTTATGCCATGGTTTCATTGGTCATATCATTTCAGTTTATGAGTCATTCAAAGAGTACATTGCTGTGGAAACTTTGGATGGAGATAACAAATATGATGCTGGGGAATATGGTCTTCAGGTGTGTGTCTTACTGGATAAAATATTTTTATTCTGAGTTTGTTGTGTTTTGCTTTGTATACCTTTCATATGCTTCACCTCTGAATTTGATTTCATCCTCTTTTATCAGGAAGCTAAAAAGGGGGTAATTTTTGCAAAATTGCCTCCTGTTCTCCATCTTCAGTTAATGCGATTTCAGTATGACCCAATGACAGACACAAATGTTAAAATAAATGACAGGTTTGTCCAAGAATTGTAATACTTGAATAGAATTACTGTGACTAATTCATCTTTGATAAAGGATTGTGGTACACACCATATATGTAGCCTTTCTGTTAAGATTTGCCAATCAGCAAGACCAGTCCTATCAGTTTTGCTGACAAATTTGGATCATTTCCCCCCCTGGATCAGTGCTCCAACTTCAAAGTTTTTTAAGTTATCATTTGGGAACTGAAAATCAGGAAATGGTTGCTAGAAAGGAAATTTAATCCTCAGTGGCCGGGAATCACTTATTTAAGGCCCACATGACATCTCAAGACACTTGCAGAACCAAGGAGAGAGGCACATTTACTGAGCACTAATGATATTAATGCAAATGTTTATCTCACTTGAACTTTAGATCATGGTAGTTAGAGAATGAAAGCATTGCAGCTTGCTTCTTGACTGCTAAGCACAGGTTACCAATTTGAGGACTTTTGCTTAAAATTTGATCACCAAAGTTTTTTGCTAATGGCCATGATACCAAACCAAACTTGGAGCACTATTCATTGTTTTTAAAAAAAATGGCACTTTTAAGCTTTAAATTTTAGGCTTAGTGAGTAGATCAGTTTCTTATTCCTCAGGCTATTATTTTTTTGTTTAAACAAAGCTATAACTGCGTTTGATTTTTTCTAGATGTGAATTTATGGAGAAGCTTGATTTAAACCAATTTCTTCAAGATCCTGAAGAGCACCCAGGACAGTATACATTACATGCTGTTCTTGTACATAGTGGTAAATCCATTTTACATTTAATTCTTAAGGGTGAAAGAGCTTTCTTTTCAGCACAGTTGTATACCTTTCCAGTGAAGTTAAAATCTCCAATTTGTCAAGTACACATTCATTTAGATAGCTTGTTGCTGTAAATAGTTTGTAAATAGAAAATGTTCATATTCAATATGGTAGTGGAACAAAGAAAGATTTTACCATGGGGGGTGGAACAAAGGAAAAGATCTGTATCTCTAATGAGGAATTGAACAACCAGACTAAGCAACAAGAAAAGTGTGGGTGTGCTAGGCCCTAAACTTGGTTCAGATACTGTACTTCAAGTTTCCTGCTTGCAGCAAAGATCAGAAATGTTGAGACTTGGTACTTATAGACCCTGTATGCCTACCTCACCAACTACTTTTCTGTAACTCAGTGGCAAAGCTTGGTACAGCAAAATCAGAAGAGGGGGAAGGGTTGAATCGCTTGTTAGGGACTCGTATTTTATTTTCTTTGTCACACCTTTATGCCAAAAATCAGTTTAAATGTGCACCTGTTAAATTAATTCTTGAGATGTAATATTTCAGGTACTTCAAAAAAAGGTAATTTAAACCACACAAGGGCCCCAAAGGGTGAAAGAAAGTGTTTTCACCTTCACTGTTTTGTTGTTATATTTCATCAGTTCTTAACTTTTAGAAATTTGTATTTTTAGGAGATAACCATGGTGGACATTATGTTGTGTACATTAACCCCAATGGTGATGGAAGGGTATGACTCATAGTCTCGGTTTTTGTTATTTTCATCATTGGTTGCCTATGAGAGCTGGGCAGACAACTGGGGATGTTAAATCTAAACAGTGGCTTGTAGGACCCTACCATGATCCGCAGTATTTTAGTGCGTTGTTTATGTCTCAATTTGTACCTCTAGCAGGGCTGGGAACAGATGGTTAATTGCAAAAAACAAGCATGGCTGTGATTTCAAACTTTGAGTATATTTTGTGTCCCAGTTCACACTGGTGATAGTTTTGATCATATGGAAATACATGTAATACCCATGAGAGGTTATAAAATCATATAAACATTTGGACAAGGGTAGACTTTTCAGTGGTGTTAATAGTGGTTTCAGTTGCCCATGATACAAGAGAATGCAAGTGATGTTCAAAGACAATTTTTGTTGTTTAGAACATTTAAAGGTTACTTTGGGGCATAGAGTTCTGGCCGTATGCTGTATACATGACTTTGTATACATTTTAGTTTGTGGTGTCAAATGTTTTCCTTATGTAATGACCATTAAATGACACTACTCCTTTAATTTTCAGTGGTGCAAGTTTGATGATGATGTTGTGTCACTGGTAAGTTATGGATATGGATATGGATATGGAATAACCAAATCCAAACTGTTAAAAAAAAAGAGGTTCATAGAGGGAACTTTATGCAGAGATACATATCTTAATTCTTGAGCAGTGTTCTTTAAACATTTGTATGTTGTTTTAGAGCTAGCATTTATATTTTTTCCTAATTCAAAGCCATAATTAATTATTGCAGGCTACTAAAAAAGAAGCAATTGACAATAACTTTGGAGGATACGAGGTAGGCAGATTTACTTTAAATTTCTTATTTTAGCTTCACCACACAACAGACAGGTCAAATATTGAACCACTAGGTTTATTTTGCACTGTTTGACCAAGCACCAACTCAAAGAATATCTAGAAGACCCTATGTATACAATCCACGTATGATACAGAATCATTACATTAGCAGTAATCACTGTCACTGTGCATTCAAATCAAATAACTGGAGAGCTAAGCAACCTCTTACAATCACTGTGGTTAAAACGGTGGCCAGAAAAAACCTGTTGAAGAAAACACCAGTGGGGGAAAGAGACAGGAAATGTGGGCGGAAATCAGGCCCAGGCTCATAACCTATATATGTACATAGAGATAATTTTGGTTTTATCAACTGAGTTGGTGATGTAAATTGGCCACCGTGAAGAGTTTCAAAGCTGACGTAAGCCCTTCGTCGGGTGAAGGGCTACGCTCGAAAAGTCAGCTCTAGAAATTATTAACTGTGGCCAATTTACATTATCAACCTAGTTGATTATAACAAAATTATCGCGTTATATTCCCTCACCGATGCGGCACCACAGTTTCTCTGAAACCTGCCCCCTTTATACATGTTTATATATGTAAATAAACTAGGAAATGGCAAATGTTGTGGCCCAGAATAATCACCAACGTACAAACGCAGGCTTTCATACTCTTATGTCTATACCCATAATATACCTTCACTAACAGCTTTGACTTAAGCCCTGTTATTCACATGCCATAGAAGGTAGCTAATTTCCGGCTTATTCGCTGGCAGTCTAAAGCCAGAAACTACATTTGATACTAAGATGTCCAAATTGACTCCAGTATAATTCAGTAGACGAAGAGGTGCACTTGATTTTACACATAATTAAACAGTTATGATCAGATTATTCCTTCGTGCACAGCATTCTTAGACCATTCAGTTCTTGTGTGTGGTGGAAATTGACCAAGCCAATGTTTTGTTACAGGATGACATTACAGTAAAGCATTGTACGAATGCGTATATGTTGGTTTACATCAGGGATAATGAAATGAGTAAGTAGCCATTTCTACCTTACGTGTTTGATGATGACTTACATTTAATGAGCTTTGGTGTAAGTCAGAAAAAATGGCACTAATAAACGAACTTGAGGCCAACAGTTAAATTTGTGGAGAGAAATATTATGAAAAAGCTTCCCTGCTAGGAACTCGTTAAAATAATTAAAACTCAAACAAAACAAGTTCATGCATTAAAAAAAAAATTTGTCTCATTTTTTTGGAGAAAAATTAATTCCCAGTAGCAAGTGTCAAAAGTTTTAGCTTGATGAGCAGAACTACGTTTATTGACTCAAATCCACATTTACTGATTGTGGTCCTGTCAAATAAGGACAATTTATAATATCTTCCAGTTAGTACGTGCGCTATGATCGATCAATTAGGCCGGCCGTAGTTCACGGAATTAAAATCTTTCCCCTCTATTTGACCCTTGAGATATAATAAATACATTGCTATCCCCGTTTTCTCGGTCCGTACTGTAAGTTACGGAACCTCGTTTTTTTTCACCTCGGATTTGTGGCTTCGCACTCAGGCCTCGAACTCGGTTGGAAGAGGTATATACAAACAGTTTCTGGCAAACCTGTAACTAATTCTCATGTTGGGATATTCTGATGAACTTCCTCCTTTGCTTGAAAGAAGAGTTTCGATGGCACTATGTGGTGAATACTATTGTACTTTTTATTTTTCACAGAGGATATTCTTGAAGATGTAGATGAGTGTACAATTCCTGATACACTAGTACAAAGACTACAGGAAGAGAAGTAAGAAAACAGCTTAAGTAAAGTTTTTGGTTTTTAAAATGATCGTTGATTAATGAAGGTGCTCTGCGGCTGAAAATTATGAAATTTTAGTGTTAGTAAACAAATTTCCGTCAATAAATGAAAGCTTTATTATTGACTTGCAGGAGACTTGAAGCACAGAGAAGGAAGGAGAGACAAGAAGCTCATTTGTACATGACAGTGGATGTAGGTTTATTACCAAACTTATTTCAAATTTGACGACAGGGAGAGAAAATTTTTGTATAATCTTATAAATCTCCGTTTTAAGTAAATAACATCCCTATAGAACTATTTTGTGGCTTACATACCCGCACAGCTATTGCTCTATTATAATTACCGTAGTCTGTATAACAGATGTGACATGTGTGCTCGTCTAATGCAAGCTGATGTAAGCTCGAGACAAGTGCGTTGTGTGGGTCACGTGTCCTTCCTTCGTCTCGCGCGTGACTCGCCCTTTGCACACGCCTCGCGTTTACCTCCACTAAACTCCGATGGCATGAAAAAAGGCCCAAATACAACACCTGGGTATAAATATCTTGTATGTGAGGTTAACTTCTACTTCTTTATTGTTCAGATTGTGACTGAAGACCAATTCGCGGGACACCAGGGACCTGATCTTTTTGATCCAGAGAAAACCAAAATGAAGTGAGTTTCGATAGCATGCGATAAGTTCTTAAACAGAAGGAGTACATTGTAAATCGTTGGGTCATTTCCTCTCCTTACCTCCCCTTGGTTGCCCATTGCAGTCTACCTCCCAATGATATCCACTTGAATCTGTTTGAAAAGAACCATTTCAGAAGATTTAGTGTCGTACTAAGTAAGAACTGACCTACAACTCCATCCATGAAGAGTTCGTTTATGAGACAATTGTTTCAACGTTTTTTTCTCCCTCTGTAGGAGTTTCAAAGTTCTAAAATCAAAGAAACTTCACGAAGTTTTGGCTATTCTTGCTGATGGTCTGGTAAGAAATTCAACTTGTTGAATTAATCATATTGTCCATTTTGGCGCAAACTCTGCTCATTTTCTCAATTCTCGGTTTTTCTCAAATGATTCTTTCATTGAAATACGTTTTTTCTCACCAGTAGATCAGTTTTGAATGAGTACTCTGCGGCAAAAGAATTTGCTTAAAGTACGCAACGTAACGTGAACTTATTATAAAGAGTTGACTCCTAAACTATTGTGCGTTTGCAGCACGTTTTCGTGGTCGAGTGTTTCTTATAGTTGTAACAGGTCAAGTTTCTTTATACCCAAACTACCTTGTATAACCTTGTCTTTTCGCCTTACAGGGATACCCAGTGAATCAAATTAGACCGTGGCCACTTCAGCCGAGAAGTAACGGCACAACAAGGCCCAGTTTATTTGACATAGAAGGAAGTTTGGATAAAACGGTAATTTGGTTAAGCTACAGTTTCTTAGCTGCCATAATTACATTTCATTTTGAAATTTTAACAAATCCGGGGTAGATATTTAACCGAGTGTTTCCTTTTCGTTCTCTCGAAGCTGGGCCAAATTGTGGACGGATCACAGTGGTGTGTATTCCTAGAAACAATTGATCCTGGTAAGAATATTTATCTATTGTATGGCCTGACATTTAGCTTTTAAAACGTAACTCCCTGACTCGTTTTAGTGAATTATACAGCAATCATTCAATGCTAGGTCGCGTGAGATTTTTTCATAGGAGCGTCTCACGGTATAATTAGGAATTCAGTTTAGATCAATGGCGATTCTACACAATTGATCCGTCGTTATCAACGCATTTGACCTGTTGATATTAACTCATTCTATTCTGTTCTTGTAGAAGAAGGAAAAGTGTCACTACCAGTCTTTGATAAGACAAGTAAGTTGTTTTTTATCACAACTGTCTAGATGGCATAATGTAGCTGCAACATTTTCCACTTTCATAAAAATTTATTTGTAATGTCACTCTTTTAGTCAAATGTTTTGCTTTCTTTCGAACGAATACTGTAAATCATCACCCAAACTTGTAGTAACGAAATTTCAGACCATGTCAGATCGAATCAAGTTAATTAGATATTAGTAAGTCATTTTTTGTTTCTTATTTTTCCTGCTGCAGATGACGTCCTGTTATTCTTCAAACATTATGACCCAGTACAAAAGACTCTATCCTGTGTGTGTCATCTTTACACTCCTTTGTCAACAAAATTTGGTAAGATAATTGTTGTCAACCTGCTTATCGGGTTTTGGTCGTGTATTGAACTTGAGAAGGTGGGGAAGAGAAGGGGTCGTTTTCATCAGCCTGGACAGGAATTGATTACTCAGGCTTGTTGGTTCTTCTTAATAACGGAATGTTCTTTTAAAAGATGGTCGCTTTATTGGCCAATTGATTTACAACAAGCGTCCTCAGAATTGCATTCATAAACAATGTGCGATCTCGTCGAAAACACTTGTTTCTGCTTTGACCTGTGCAACGTTCTCATCTTTCCCCGGCATCTAACCCTATAGAGGGCCTCCTTTGTCAAGGCATCGCCCTATTGTCGTTTGCAATACTTAACTGACCCTGTTTTGTTCTTCTCAGTGGATCTCATTCCTATGTTAAGTGAGAAAGCTGGGTTACCGCCTGGAACACCAATAGCCATGTTTGAGGTGAGAGTGCTCGGCTTGTTTTTACCTCTGTATTCGTTTTTTTTTTCTAAACCATAGACCGGATTCCTCATTCTATGGGCCTTTTTTGTAGGAAGTGAAAACAACTTACGTGGAGCAAATCAAGGACCTAAATGTCTCGTTTGAACGGGTATGTGTTCCCGAGCTTATACAAATTCTTTTTTTTCTGCCTTTTGGGAGAGCTGAAGAGCGAAAGTCATTACCTTATTGCGCCTTCTGTGGAAATAACATATCAATTATACTACATATTTATCATTATTTTGATATCATCACTTTCTTTTTTTCAACAGGGAGTGGAGGAACTCATGGATGGCGACATCATCTGTTTCCAAAGGTATGCAGGTGTTGGTATGAAATGGAACAATGGAAAAATACTTCTCTTTAATTGCAAAATTTTTAATATTACTACTGTTGCGTCATGTTTAGATCTGAACCTGATTTGCTAAGCGCAAGTGAATTACCCACAGTAGCAGACTATTTCAGGTAGGGTGTTGCCGTGGTGTTCAAAGTAATTTTTAAAACGTTGAAAATAGTAAAGAGAACATCTTTTGAAGTAGTATTCGGAAATATTGGTCGAAAGTACTCAAATAGTGTTCTTTTCCATTGTTTTCCAGGGATCTTCACAATAGAGTGGAAGTCATATTTTGTGACAAGAACATTGTAAATGACCCTGGCTTTAGTGTGACACTCTCGATAAGAATGAACTATATGCAGGTCAGTATGAATTGTTGATTTGACTACTGAAAAGAAATCGGACTGTGCATCGATTTGCCCGTCTAGAGAAAAAAAGCATTACATGCCAAAACATGTATAGGTACTTTGAGACCCCAAACATTGCCCAAACAAGTGACAAGTTCGCTCCTGGAGGCAAACACTTGCACTCAAACTTCCTTTGTCTCGGTCGTCACTCGATTAATTCTCCAGGCAAAAGATTTTTACAGGCATTCGTATAAGATATGAGTTATAGAAATTGACATGAAATTGCCTTCCTGTATGTTGTATTTAACCAATTTGCTAATAAACGATCCTTTTGGATCGAAATTCGTCTCGTTTGAAGTGAACACATGGTTCTTTCCAGCTTTGTAGATAATGTAGTTTTACAACTATTTCTGCGAAAATCTTCCGTACGGACCGCCTTCTTGAATTGACAGGGAAAACAAATCTTCCTCAGAATCGCGCGCGAGCATTCGAGAAAATACTTACTTGATTATAGTCGTGGACCCTCGAACCGCCTTGGAGGTGTAAGGAAGTGTTTTGTGTTTACTTAATCTATACCGTATTGAACATAGTTACATAATTCCCTTACTTCATACACTTGATGAAGTCACTAAACAATGGGTTGTCTGTGCGTTTCTTGTCAGGTTGCCAAGGCTGTGGCAGCAAACCTAGAGGTTGATCCAATGATGTTGCAATTTTTCAAAGGACAGGCGTAAGTTACTGTGACTTGAGTAAGGACCTTCAGCAAACCACGACGGCAACGAGGACGTGGGGAAACAAAATAGTTAATGACTATAGCTATAACCTAGCACGTGAATTTAAATCTATGTTCTGACATTTCTAAATCGTCCTCTGCCAAACAACGACGTGAAATCACCAAAATTTACGTGGTCCGACAACGGAAACCGCGATGGCAAATTATTTAAGTTCAAATCTGGAACTTAACCCTGATCATAAATGTCATGCTGAAGTTGAGGTGTGGCGCCGTAAGAGACCGTAAACTTTCAACCTTTCGCGAAATTCTGACTGTGAATTTAAATTAATTTTTTAATCGACGTTTCCTCGACGTTGTCGTCCTGACTGCTTATTTAAGGTCCCCTACTATCTTTTTTTTTTTTTTTTTTTTTTTTTTTTTTTTCACAGTGTTTTGTTTCCAGTTCACGCCAATTTATCTTATGTCTCTCAGATATCGCGACGCACCAGGGAGTGCGCTAAGATGTACATATGAAGGAACTTTGCGGGATCTTTTGATTTACTATAAACCACGGGGACCAAAGAAACTCTACTACCAAATACTAAGCATACCTATCGACCAACTCGAAAACAAGAGACAATTCAAATGTATTTGGGTTGCCAACCAGTTCAAAGAAGAGAGAGAACTCGCTCTCTTTCCAAATAAAGATGGAACGGTGGCAGACCTTCTCAACGAAGCTCGGGAACAAGTTGATTTACAGCCGAATGGAACGGGGAAACTTCGGCTTCTAGAGATTATTAGCTCCAAAGTGTTTAACATTGTTAACAATGACGTTCCACTGGAACATCTCGCCACCCAGTCACAAAGAACGTTTAGAATAGAGGTAACGTATGTGATGTTCCAAGGAGGATTGAAAATGTTGAAAACGGTCTTTTAGATTTTAGTCAGACATGAAGTCTTTACGACTAATTAACGTTCAAAGCAATTTTCATAAGGTATCCATTCTTATGTATCATTAAAGTGCAATTTTTGCCACTTTTGAGAGGTGTGTGGGAACCAGTCACAAATTAAGTTTATTGTTTTTTCTTTTTCTCAGTTTTTTTTGCCGCCGACCTCTGTTTGCCATCTTGGTGTAGTTTACTCTCTCAATGCTGTACACACAGGCTCTTTCTCTGGAGACTATATAGTAAAGGAGATTCATTTCAAGCTTATCTGTAGATTTACTGTTTTTTTGTTGTTGTTTTTCATTGTTGTTGTTGTTTTTTTTTTTTCAGGAAGTCCCCGAAGATGAAGTAGAACTAGCAAATGATGAAATTTTAGTTCCTGTGGCTCACTTTAATAAGGTAAAACCTTTGAAATCGTGCTTTGGTGTTACTATGTGATTTGTTATCGCCAAAAATATGTTATTTTGTGGCAAATTTGTTTTCCTTTTTTGTTCTTAACAGGAAATTTATCAGACGTTTGGAACTCCATTTTTACTTAGGATAACTGATGTAAGTACATTCAGATGAAAAGAGAGTAGCATCAAACCATGTCTGATTGTCCGCCTGGTTGCCATGTGAACTTTAATATAGAGAAATTCTTGTTGCACAAATTGATTTCACAAATTGATCTGAAGGTGTGAAAAAATACATGCATACCTAACAAGGGTGAGGAGTTTGATCCACTTGGAATAAACCTGAAAGGTTTGAAAAATCAGTAGAAACTGAGAAGAATGATGTCAACAGAAACTCAAGTCGAGAGTGAATAGGTAATTGGGTTACTTGTAAGGAAAATGGTTATTAGTTGTAGGTCTCGGGAAAAGAAAAGAAAAACCATTAAAAAGCAGCTTGTCAGTGGATTAGTGTGGCATCCATTCTGAGTGTGGCTGGTGTAGAAAGGAACCAGATAACCTGTGTTTTCTATTTGTACCACAATTTCTAAACAAAAACACGTTCATTTTATTATCAGGGAGAACCCATCAACAAGTTAAAAGAAAGAATAAAAGAAAAGATAGACATTCAAGAAAAAGAATTTGAAAAGGTAATTTACTTTGTTCCAACCAATACCAGTTGAAAGAAGGTTAACAAACGATAGGCTAACAGGGTTCCAAACAGATAGGAAAAGACAAAGAAATGGTTAGACAGTCAGGCAGGCAGGTAGACAGACAGACAGACAGGCAAAGAGGCAGACAGACAGACAGACAGACAGACAGACAGACAGACAGACAGACAAAGAGACTGTCAGGCAGGCAGGGAGGTAGGCAGGCAGACAGACGGATAGGCAGGCAGGCGGGGAGGTAGGCAGGCAGGCAGGCAGGCAGGCAGACAGGAAGATAGACAAATAGACAGGAAGCCAGGCAGACAGGCAGGGAATTGAGAATATGGACAATAAGGTAGACAGTATGAAAATAGGTAGAAAGTCAGAAACAAAGACGATCAGATGTGCAGATATAGTCAGGAACAACCAAAAAAAGCAGGCCGATGATATAATTTATTACCCGCTTATGTTTTCATGTTTTCCCGTAGGTTAAATTCGCAGTTATTCACATGGGACGAGCGATATACCTCCCAGAAGGTAACTTCATTATTCTTGATTCCTCCTCTGTTTTAAGAGTTCTTACGTCATTCATGCTTTTCTCGGTTTCCGTGTATTTGTCTTGTTTCAGAATCGGACAAAATCGTCTCAGTGAAAGACTTTCTTCCGCAGACACCAGGTAAACACAACCGTTCGTTGCTCTAAAAAATTGAAAGAAGTTTAATAGAGTTGAGTGAACAAAAGAATTTGCCGTCTGCATAATTTTATTAACGCCCGAGACGTCTACACAATGCTGATACTTGCACGACGCGTGTTACATACACTATGAACCTAGTCATGGCCCTAGCTCACCGTAGAGATCCCTCATGGGCACTCATAATCTTGCCTTTGTTCCACGCTCGTGGTAAGACGAAAAGAACCTCTTTCTTTTACCTTTTCACCCCCAGTATCTCAATGTTGATCATCCATACTGTTTGTCGTTCATTTTGGATTTCATCAAACGTCTCCCTAGTTCATAATTCTTTCACTCCTCATCACCTTTCGGCTTTAAAATGTATTAAAGTTGTGCAGAGAAATAGGCTTGGTGACTTCAGGGAGTCAAAGGGTTCAACAGTTTCTTGTCTCTCACACAACTCTTTCGGAAGGAATTCATCTTTTCTTGGCAGCTACTTCATCAGAACTCACGTTACTGTATTTTAGTTTTCTAATTCTGCCTTGGTGTAACAGAATTAAGAATAATCCACTGGCCAAAGTCTTAATTTTCTTATAGGGTTGAAGGGAAATGTTAGTATATTCTCTTATTCTGCGAATAAGAGAGAGTTTTAGCCACCATAAAAGAGACTTAACTAAATATGTGTTGTTTTTTAGGCGCTCAGAGCATGAGCAGACCGTGGCTGGGACTGGATCATCTCAACAAGGCTCCCAAGAGATCACGGTATAGCTTTCTTGAACGACCAATCAAAATCCACAACTAGGGAATGCATAGCCGTCTTTTTAAAAAAACACCGATTATGTTTTTTTTTTAGTGTGAGGAAGAATTCTCTTGTTTCACATTAATAAATAATTATCAAAGGATTTAGTCAGTGGCTCAATTGACGTGCTGACGTTACAATTTGTACAGTTGTAAAGACCTTTTTTGCGCGGCAGTTTTTAGATTGACTTCGGGAAAAGTTCATTTCAGTAAAATGCTTTCAAAGCTTGTGTACTTTACGTGTAATGTGGTATCTTGTTGGTATCAATGTTCTCTCTCACGCATCTTTGAGAATATCAAATTAAAATAATGCGTTTACTTATGTTATGACGGCTCATAATGAAATCTTGTATGCAATAAAAACCACACGAACGTGTTTTAAGTCGCTTTCCTTATTGGCGATTTTCCCATCCTTATGTTAAAATAATGACAAACGTGGGGCCAGTTCCATGATATTTTTATATGTGACAAATCCACTCCAACCCTTTGGCCGTACTCTCTTTCTTTGATTCGTGACAGCGTTTTTGACAGAGAATTTTCGAAGGCAGAGTAGAAGTGTTGACTATCGGTCCAGTCCCTCACTGGGAGTTGAGACATTGTATAGCACAGAACGGAATCAAGACAAGTGGGTTCTGTAAGAAACAGCTAACTTTATTCTTTATTTGATGATAACTTAAGCGGCTTTTAGTGACAAATTAAAAGTAAGACGACTGACCTTGAAACTAACCTAACCAAGTATAATTCACATGCAAAGATTAAAGAAAAATTTGATGTGACCAACATTGTGTAGGAGGATCTCTGTGAAACAGTCTCCTAGGCTACCTATCGTGACTATTGCTGTCTTCGTTGCCGATACGTAGAACTTCTGGAGACTTTGGTTCAACTGTCCAGGCGCAATTTCCATTCTTTTCTTTTTAGTCTTGCATCATTAGTTAAAAACGTTGTTTAAAGATGTTGCAAAGGTTGAACCAAATGTTTTCACACTTGCGCGTTTTCTGGAATGGCCACCTCGTTTACCTAAATGATTTCCCATCAGGTAATGGTATCAAAACAAGACACTCAATTTTTCTCTCCAGTTATTTGAATATGAATGTTATTTTTTAAATCACCTATCCGCCAGCCAATAAGCGGGCGATAAAAGCAATATTTTTCACCAAATAGAAATGTCATAGTTTAAGCTTTGTCTCGGTGAGGTCTTGTTTTATAAAAGATCTTATCAACAAAACGTGCAAACGATTCCATAGCTACGAATATTTAACAAATATTCACCGAAGTGGAGGTGAATGATGATGGATTTTTACCGAGTTTCGAAGAGGCAAGGTTAATATTCACTGCTTTCACCTACACTGAAGTGAATAATTGTCTTAGTATATACCACAAAGATACTAAAACAGGTTTATTTCTTTCAGTATACGGGAAAATTGTCGGATGAGGTACTTAAGATGTTTCATTTCGTTTTTGTTTTTTCTTTTTTTGGCCCGCCTCGATTCGGAATCATTAGAGGGAAGGAATATGCCCGGTTCTAATTAAGTATAAAGTTGGTGCGATGAAAGTTATCGAGCATCAAAGCTGTGAAATCTTCCAAAACGGCTCTTCAGTGATAACGAAATTTTTAACTCAGTCGAGAACAAAAACTTGATGTCCTGAAATCATACCAAGCATCTATATTTTGCTATGCAACCTTAATTCCATTAGTCCTAAGGTAAAGGAACATTGTTTTCCTTTCTAACTGCCATATAACAGCTGCTGTTTATGTTTTGAGAATTTAGGAGTATATCAAGACAGTATTAGATTTAAATTTCAAGTTTTCGTCACCTGTCTGCCCTACGGTGTAATGATAACTCGGAGAGAAGTTACAATGTGAGTTCATCTAGAAGTCATACAGTAAACTCAATTCCCTTTAAGAGGTGTTAGGGAACTGTAAGTGTCGCCATTCAGACCAGAAACAGCTCGTTCTCTCTGATGTCGCTCAAGCATTTTCGTACGTTTTTCCTGCCAGTCCCGGCGGAAATTATTTAGCTCTTCGTCCATCTTCATGATTTCCATGCTGTGTTTGGAGACAAGTTGCTCAGAAGGTGCATGACCAAAGGACAGCCGTGGGGTCGGGTGGGTCCCTAAGTCCTCCAGTACAATAGCTGTGGGTGCTGTGATGGAGCTTGCTGATGGTAGAGAGCAAGAATATGTTTTAATATTTTTACCACAATTGGCAGTGATGTCGCATTCTAATTGGCCAATTTGGCGTTGTCGATGAGAGTACAGTGAAATCTGCTCGCGTCAGCGTCTCACGCAATGGTCACGCATTGAAAGGATCTTTTAGTTTGACGTCGATATTGTGGTAAAAAACAAATCGACAGTGGTTAAGCGTGGTCTGTCCTTTCATCGACAATGACAAATTTGTAACGGACTCACGAGGCGCACAGCAATTTGACTACTCTGTAGACGAATAGTGTTGTCGATAAGACAACAGATCACGCTGAACTACTGTCGATTTGTTAATTTGCTGCTCAATATTTATATAAATTCTCCCTTGTGTGGTTCAAAGTGGTTAAGCTGGATCGGGCCAGAAGAGACGACACAACGAGATTTTTCCTTACCTCCGCTTTTCCCGTTGTTTTTCATTTTGTTTTTCTTGTATGCTTCCCAGCCAATCCCTGCGGCCATGAGCACCACAAACAAGGCCAGCCCACCATATACTGTAATGCTGAATATTCCTCCGCTTCCAAAGTAATCTTCTGCGACGCTTATCTTTTCCTTTTGAACAAGAAAAGTACCTCATTAGTTGCCAGTACTGTCACCAAGGTTTATTACACTACCCAAAGGCGTGCAGTACTCTTTTCATTGAAATAATAAGTTTTAGCGTAAGGGCTGTAGCCTAGCGCGAGAGCTCTACTAGGGAATATTGGCCTGAGGTCGTGGCAGTATACGGACTGAGCACGGCGAGGTCTGTACAAAAACAAGCGAGAGCCAATATTCCCCGGTACGGTTTTAATAAGCGAGGTTAGTGAGTAGTTTATTAAATGGTACCTAGACCAAACCTATTTGTGTGGAATTTGCTGACTTTCGAGTAAAAAATTTCACGGCTTGTAGCCGTTTCCTTGGAATCGATCCATGTGGCGAAATCCCAACCAAGTAGGAACCAATCAAGACGTATGGATTTACCTCAAGACTTCCTTGCCATATAATAATCTCTTTTGTTTAAAATATAGTTGCCGCTTCCTTTGTCAAACCTACCTGTGTGGTTCCGGTATTTTCGGCCAGAATGTAGTAAAGCCATTGCTCTTCCGTTTGAACGTATTCATTGAAGCATTTCAAAAAATCTGTCGAGTTGCGTGCAAGGATCGCTCCATATGAAACGTGACTCGTTAGAATGTTTCCAACCTGTAGGACGGTGATCATATGTAAAAGTTTTGGTTCGATCACGGCAGAATAAGCCTGCCTTATTTTTGGGTGGGAACTATCTTGCAATTTTGCAGCGAAACAAGAAAACGAATTGCCTAAAATCAACTCAAATTTCAGGGGTGTCTCTAAACCTCTACGCAGATGTATTAAAAATTTTGTAGAAAGATCGGAATTCAATAACGAAGTGGGGGATTAGCAAACTCTTTCGTGTGAATTAAAGAACGCATAAGGCTGAAAATTAAATGCGCTAATTTTAAGAGACTGTAGCGTTGCCACCTTAACCAATGATGTAAAAAAAAAAACAAAACTTAAATCAAGCAAAAATTTGGCATTTCCCTAAATTTTTTTCGAGGAAATGGACCTCAAATTATGGTAGGATTGAGGAATCAGAGTTGGTGTTAACTTAAAACGACACAGATTTGAACCACCGAATCCTCACCGTTTTCACGATGGCCACTGGGATTGTTCATATCCTACTTTACAGGATAGAAATAACGAAAGACAAGACAAGAGACAACAGGCAGAGAATTCGTATTCACTACTGATTTACCTGAATATTGTGTTGAGTGAGGGCATTTATGTGATGCTTGAGTCCGTGTACGTCCACCAATGCACCTTCCACTCGACGGTCCAGCACATATTGAAACACTTGGTCGCTGTTACTCAGAGCTGCATAAGTAACAAAGTCACAATGCAGTTACAATTCACCTTTTAGGCTTTTGAGTTCACGTGTAGTGTCACGTGACTTTTGATGTAAACAAACCGCGAAAGTCAACCTCCCACTATCCGTGTACTTTTTTGTATCATATGTTTGATTATTTAGTACCTTAAGAAATGTTTACAGAACAATGTGGAGAGAATGAATACCGATGTCAGGGATGTTAGGGTCTAAAGAGTTAACTAAGTCATCTTCGTGTGTCAACCATTAAGTCTGTAATCAAATACCACATGACTTTCACTAAGATGAAATTTTAAGTCCAGATGATGTCGAAATGTTAACTGACGAATAGGTGCAATAGAGTCATGGAACACTCATTGTTTAAGCCATAAATAACGCATTTCATTTTCTGTATTCAGATTTCTACTCTTCTGTTACATATCTATCAAAAACATGTGTTTACATGAATCAGGCCGAACTTCTAAACAATTTTAGTGCTGATTACGTCCCTCTCGGCCAACTGAAGCCACAATACAGTTTGCTTTCTTCTTCTACAGTAATAACAGTATCAATTTTTCATTAAACTTCGGTGTTACGCCATTAGCTTGACTAGCCATTTATATGCAAAAATTAACTAATGTCCAATACTTTGGACAACACTCGGATCTACACCACGTCCTTACCAATAAAATAAATACATAACTTGCATATTGTGCTAATAGTTATCGAGACTGCTGGGATACTGTAGACTTAGCTGTTTTTTTTAAAACATTTCGTTCATAACAGCGTTTACATCAATTTTGAGTCGTTTGAAACTATACTACTGTATCGAGAGAGTAAAAATACGCATAGTCTTCTTAGCTACAACTAAGCCTTCGAAGAAAATAAATTTCACAGTCTTAACATCTTTTTCAGAGCTTTCCTAAACTCTTTTTTTCTCACAGAATAGATTATAGGATTGCAAAGCATGCTGAAGGAATATATGTAATGTATTGATAGAGTGGTCTTCGCTGCAGTCCGCCCACCAAGGGAACGGTACAAAGCCATGATCCATAGGGGAAGGTAACATAGAATAAAAGTTCCAATTATAATCATGACATCTCGGGCGGCTTTTCCCTCTCCAAGCAGCTTAGCAAGTAACATCACAGTTTCTCCTGGCTTTTCTCTTTGTTTGGGTACCCAATTTTTGGCCGGGGCTTGTAAATTGTGGCAATTTGAAGGACTGCCATTCATTGGCATTTCTCGTTCCTTTGCCTGCTCATCTT